ACTGATCTAGCGGTTTCGGCCCTCCTTCGGGCTGCCATCTTTTCGGCATTTTTCTTTCTAACCATCTGTGGGAGCGATTCCCCAGCCATGTTTTCAAGGTCTGTGCCAAGTAGGTCTCCTAAATCGGTGAAAATGTTGTCTTTTAAAGAAGATATGTCAATTCGGCTTGAGCTGGATGGGAGGTCGAAGCCGACTTCTTCAAAAGCCAAATTAAGAGCTGCATTAACTTCCTTTCCCAAGCGATCCTCAGACCCATTTGAGTTTAACTGCCTCCACTGCTCAGCGACCTGATCGACGACTTCACCACTTGGGTCTGAATCTGAACCTTTAAGGTCGACGTCCCTAAGGGTCTTGGAGCTTGGGAAGATGAGTGCCATAAGATGCTGTTCACCCCTTGGAATTGGGATATGATCTGCAGCCGAAAAAGTCGAATACATTGGGTCATATTGCAATAACACGTAGGCGGCCCGCCCTTGCTTTTGAAGGTTTGGACGGCCAAAGAATTTGAGTGCGGTTTTGACTTGCTCGAGCACAGTGTCGTTGGTCGAAGTGAGTGCTTTCTTCAGATTGTTACCTGCACAAACGAAAAGATAAGTACATGGAATCGAAGCCGAGTAAACATATAAGAAATGCCCAAACGAAAGAGAAATGGGTCTGTACGACCACCTGGTTGGTTTTTTTGTCTAGGCACAAGGTCCAGGCGATCTTCACCTTCGCCAAACTCCTAATTGCCTTGGACAACGACCATAGCGTCGTCAACACGCTTACCAAAGCTGGCAAGCATAGTCACTAAATGGTGATCAGTGTCCTTGGCCCTGAGAAAGTAGCGTCCCCGCCGACTGGAAGATTTCGCCAAGGCATAACAGTGTCGAATAGCAAGGATTCCTAGATTAATCCTAAGTTGGCGATTTAATTCTATTATGCCCATTATAATTCGGTAAAAATTTACTTTTGGCTGTGAAGGGAGTAGACCTCAATAGCGAAGAATGGCCCTAAAAAATGGATGAAGGGGGAAACGAACTCCGCCCTCAGCAATTGACAGGAGGGAAAAGATGATCGTACTTGCATCAGTTCTCTCTATGTCAACTACACTGTCCGCCACGAGTGACAGATGAACGTCATCTGGAATTGAGAAATAACAACGAAAAGCGGAAACACGATCCGCAGAAAGGAGAGCTTTCAAATGTTTCACCATTCAAATCGGAACAGAAAATATGTTAACTAAAAACGAACAAGAAAATGGGAGCTGGAATGAAGAAGAAATACAAAGAGGAGAAGAACTTACAGGTCAGAGAGAGAAGGATAGTAGGGAGCGGGCAGAAATCGCAGAGGTTGTGAAGAAGGAATGATACTGTGAGACAACTAGAAAGCCTTGCATATTCAAAAAATATTCGAAGGGATAGCACGGTTTCATATCACATTAAATGAGCAACGCGTACGAAGGGGTGGGAAGTTATAATGATTTCTAAATCATGTTCATTCTGATGCTTCAGTATTGGAAGAAGTGCAAGCGCTGTATTTTTGACTTTCACACGCAAAACCAAACATGACGACTAATTGGTATTAGTTGGACGTTTGGAGGGCAATTGTGGAGGCTGAATAAAATCAATGAGAAAGAGGCCAAGGCATCTGGTTGAGACATCAGGCCGAAGGAAATTCGGCCCCGACTAGGGGCTTATGAAGCCGAATATACGAATCGGCCATATAAGGAGCCGAATAGGAGACAATACTCAATTGGAGGGCCGACTAAATAATTGTGCAAAGAGTCGGCCCGACCCTTGGGCCCAGACGTAATATAAAAATGGAAGAATGTCAGCCAAAGAAAGGTATATAAAAAAAAAACAAGACAACTTGAGATAGAAATAAATTTAAGAAGATACTGACTTGTCCGTCAGAGTGCTAATTCCGGCACCCCCGACTGGAATGTTAACCCTTTTTCAGGTAGTAATCAAAGGATTAAGAGCATCTAACTAGATCCAAGAGTATTTCCAAATCACTTTACCACAATTTATATTTACAAATATTAAGAGAAGGGATACTTACAAGCCGGTCCTATTAACCAAACTTATTTACCTACAAGATCTAGTTGATAATTTATAATTGTAAATTTATTTATTAATATTTACCATCCGTAGTTATATTAGTCACTCACTTACAAGAATACACTATCTTCTTCCACATACACAAGGAACAACATACACAAAGAGCAAGAGAGATTAATAAATTTATCACTAGAAAATAAATCTGAATCTGAAAAATAGAAGGCAGTAGTGATATAGTGATTGTGTACATCGGTGACGATGTAGTGTAGATATACGACCGTAAAATGTAGATCAGCAACGGTAGAATGCAGATCTATGACGATAGTGAAGATAATTAGTGAACAATGATGACATTCGAATAACGACGGTGGTGGCAGTGGGTAGACAATGACGATAACGGTGCTAGTGGATAGACGGGAGCGACGGCAGTGGTAGACAAAAGTGGTGTGAAACTTTGGAAAAATGACAGAGAGAATGGTGGTATAAACTTTTGGATGATGACGATGGTGGCAGTGATGGCTAGATGTTGACGGCGGGGATAGTGGTGGTGGGTGGACGGCAACGGTTGTGATAGACAATGATGGTATGAAATTTTTGGAAAAATAATAAAAAGAGAAAGAAGATGAAAGAACTTAATAAGCATAGATATTAGAGAACTTAGTAATGTATAAGTCTACTTAAAAAAACTATTTGACATCAGCTCAATACCAACAACTATTTTTTTTTTATAGGTAGGAATACCAACGACTCTTTGTTCTATTCAATAAAAAGACTTATGACAAAGAAGGAATATAATTTAAAAATAAATAAATAAAATAAAATAAAATAAAATAAGCAACCAAAATATAACCTCAAACAATTTGTTTGGATTGTAGTGTGAGAAAAAGCAAAGCACGTGAGAGATATGAGTAAGATTTATTTATTTGTTTATTTTGTACTTTAAAGAACAATTTCAGTATTATTAATATTTTCTAACTAATCAACTTGTTTATTACCAAATCCCTTAACTTTTAATAAGAAATGAAATGTGCAAAATACAAGATTTCAAATTCTCACAATTTTTCAACATTTATCACATAATTTATAAATCAAAAAAGTACTTTCTCATTGTTATGTATTATTTCACACCAAATCATCGCATATAGACAAGATGTAATAAGGAAGAAATGATCGATCCTCAATTAACCCCCCAACCTCTTAATTGAGCATAATTGAACTAGTCCAATTAATTTAAGAATCTTATTAACAATTACCATGTAGCAGAGAATAAAGATAAAGAAAAAACACTTTTGATTGAATTCAATACAATTTTTTATGGGAATTTATACACTTTTCAACATTTTAACCTATTTTCAATTCGCTTTTCTATTGTTTTAACTTATTTTCAATACACTTTTTACTTTACTTTAATCCCAATATTAAACAATACCCTAATGGCATGTTTTAGTAGTAGGATTACATAGAATTAGGATTGTTAGTCTATGAATTCATAATCTCATATTTGATTACAAATTTTATTAATCAGATTACATATATGACGAATATTCAATATGACGAAATTAGTAAATTTCTAATATTGAGAGGGCTAAGGACTATAATTTCAAGTGTGAAACAAAAATAAATAAATAAATAAAATAAATACATAGTAAATGGTTATTTGACTAATTTAATTAAATAACTAATCCTATACTAATTCATGAGATTATTAATTTTTTGACTGTTGATCTTATTAATCAAACAGGGCCTAACAACACTCTTTATCATTTGCCTTAATTTAAGGGCCATTTTGGAAGTGATGTTTTAATAATTTTTTGACTTATTAACTACAATATAAAATAAATATAATTAATATATTTAGAAATAATCTCTTAAATTTTTTTAAAAAATATACAAAACTTGAAATGCATATAAAGTTTTAAATTTTTTTGTGTACTCTCCATTTAGCATCCCACCAACTAGAGTATCCCTCCTTGTTTTATATATAGTTTATATCGAGAATTCCTTGTTTTATAGAGGGGCGGACCTATAGTGGGACTGGGGCCATGGCCACCACCGGTTTTGGAAAATTACAATACTACCTCTATATTTATAGATATTTGTAAAATATATCATTGGATTGCCTCTTAATTTTTAAAAAATTATTTTATTTATTCTATATTTCATTAATTTTTCGTAATGTATAATGAATTGATTTCTAACTATGCTACTTAGCATCAATAAGATTTATATAATTTATTTATACAACATATGTATGTTACTTCTTTTATTTTTATTTACTAAATATTGTCAACTAATAAAATAGCCTCATTAATATTTCATGAATTTATAAAATAATATAAATAAATAAATGAAAAATCTATGAATTGAGTTTTTCTATTAATCAAAAAAAAAATTTATTATTATTATTTTTTTATAATTTAGACGAATGACACGTTGTCACTCCACTGGGGGTCGACCCCCAGTGGGGTCTGTAGCAAAGTCCTATAGTTTATAGCGAGAATTCCTTGTTTTATAGAGGGGCGGGCCTATAGTGGGACTCGGGGGTGCCATGGCCACCACCGGTTTTGGAAAATTACAATACTACCTCTATATTCATAGGTATTTGTAAAATATATCATTGGATTGGCTCTTAATTTTTAAAAAATTATTTTACTAATTCTATATTTCATTAATTTTTCATAATGTATAATGAATTGATTTCTAACTATGCTACATAGCATCAATAAGATTTATATAATATATTTATACAACATATGTATGTTACTTCTTTTATTTTTATTTACTAAATATTGTCAACTAATAAAATAGCCTCATTAATATTTCATGGATTTAGAAAATAATATAAATAAATAAATAAATAAATCTTTTTTTTTACACAACCACCTTGGTCCCGGGACAATATTTCTGGTTCCGCCATTGGTTATATATAGTTTGTAACTTAGATATACACATACACACCATTCTCATATTTGTCAACGGTGAGCAGTGAGAGAGAGAGAGAGAGCTAACGCTAAGCAAAGCTAGCTAGCCTTTTACAAAAAATGGCCGAAACACCAATTATCAGATTTGGAATCTTAGGCTGTGCCGACATAGCTCGCAAGCTCTCCAGAGCCATCTATCTCTCCCCTAACGCCACTCTCTCCGCCATCGGCAGCCGCTCCATTGACAAGGCGGCGAAATTCGCCGCCGCCAACAACTTCCCTCCCTCCGCCAGGATCTACGGAACCTATGATGCCGTCCTCAATGACCCCGACGTTGATGCCGTCTATGTGCCGCTCCCCACCAGCCTCCACCGGCGGTGGGCGGTGATGGCGGCGGAGAAGGGGAAGCACGTGTTGTTGGAGAAGCCGGTGGCGTTGAAGGTGGCGGAGTTGGATGAGATTCTGGAGGCGTGTCGGTTGAATGGTGTGCAGTTCATGGATGCTACCATGTGGATGCACCACCCTCGCACGGCAGCGATGAGGGAGTTTCTGTCTGATGTGGAGCGTTTCGGCCAACTCAAAACGGTACGTATGAATTATTCTATGTTTCGACAATTTTATATTAATAGTGTGTTTAATCAATAATTTCTAATATTTTTTGGGACGTTAAGGTAAATATGATTGAGTTAAATGAATATGTATCCTTAAAAAAAATAAAATAATGAACAAATTATAAAATATTATTGCATGGATAATTTCTGGTATGCATATCTGCGTTTTGGGGTAATTATTCAGTATTTTCGGAGTATGGACACGTGATGTTCTATAAGATTTTGATTGGTAGAGAGGGGTAGAGACTCACAATTTATGTTGGAGGTGGGGAGCAATATGGGAGTAAGTAATTAGTGATTGGCTTGGAATGTGGCCACGTGATGTTTCGGGATTATTGAATAATTTTCCATGTATATCGGCGTTTTGTTGGAAATTTATTAGCGTAAATAATGGTTTTGATTATTCAGTATTTCCAAAGTATAGACACGTGGTGCTCCATAAGGTTTTGATTGGTAGAGAGGGGTAGAGGAACCCACGATTTATGTTGGGAATGGATGAACAACCTGAGACTAACCCGTTTGGGGACTTACTTTTTTAGCCAATTAGCCAAAAAGTTACTAAATTAGTCAAAAAGCCAACAACTCATACCAAAAAGTTAACGATTCTCTTTTCTCTCTACTTTTTGCACATCTTTTCGTAATTAGCTAAAAAGTCATCCCAAACATACAAGTTTTTTTTACCTACCTTTTTAGCCAAATAACTAAAAAAGTTACTAAATTAATTTGTTCCCAAATGAGACCAAGATTGATTTAAAATATGACCACGTGATATTCCAAAATTATTGAATAATTTCCTTTGAGTTTTATTCTCGTAACTGGTACAGGAGGTAATTGTTACTGTCACTCTATTATGGCATTTTGTTATTTTGTTTTTCAAAACATTAAAGCTATGGTATTTTTTTTTCTCTGTTTTAAAATCATATTTTGTTTTATTTTTTTTATGTGTTAACATTATATTAGTTTACTGAGTTTTATGCTTATATTTATTGGTTATACAGTATTAACCCATGATATGGTACTATGATTATGATGGTCAATTTTAAATTTGAAATTGAGAGAAGTTCAAGCTAAATAATAAAAAAAATATAATAATTATTTTCAAAATCAAGACTTACATAGTAATACATATATGAATTTTGCTCTTATAAAATGTATTCACTTGAATCTTTCTCAATCATTGATAGTAAAGATTTATATTTGATTTCATGGATGAGGATCTATGTCCTATATGTTCTCCCTCATACATCTATTGTCTAGATGTATCACTCTTAAAATCTAAATTAGAAGGCACACATGGATTTTTATTTAGTATTTATTTGCAATCAAATGTTTTTTCACAAAATCATATGGGCTGAAATTGTTAAAGAACATTTGAATATTTATTTATTTTGTGTGTTTATTTCATATTTACAATTGTATGAATCAAATAGAGGCTAATTAGGTTGAACCAAGATTTGTCCAACATTTAAAATAAATAAATAAAAGAGAGAGAGAGTCCTATGTCAGGGTCGGCTTAACACTGAAGTCACATTGAGGCCTAAAGAGAAAAACAAAATTTTATATTGTAATTTATTATGTAACATTTATTTTCTATTTGAGTTTACAACTAAAATTTTGAAAATTATTTAATAATTTTACAAGAGTTATAAAATGAAAAGTAATCAAATAAATAAAATTTAAAGATTCAAACTGAAGGTTATGCTGAAAAAAAGGAAGGTGAACGTTAAATCTGTAAAGCCTACTAAAAAAATGGTAGTGACTGTTTTGGAAAAACATATACCAAATGAGTGGAGGTCTTTTTCAAATTTTAGAAAACTTGTATTGTGCTCCTAGGTGGGGTCTTTTTTCTTTTTTATTTAGTTCTTTTTTCAAATTTGTATAACATTATCCTCATGTGGGTGGTGTCTTTTTTGTTTTTTTATTTGTTATATTTGGTTGTAAGGAGGTTTTTTACAAATTTTAGAAATTGTATTATACTCATGGTGGGTGGGATCTTTTTACTTTAAGACTTGTAGTAGTATACTGATGAATTGGATATTTTAATTTTATTTGTTATTTGGTTGTTTGCAAGACCTATTCAATTTTAAAACTTGTAGTATCCTCCCGAGTGAGGTTTTTTTTTTTAATTTTTTATTTGTTATTTGGGGGCCTTTTTAAAATTCTCAAAGGGATTTCCAAACAAAAATAGTTGTATTATAACTTTAGATTATATTTAAAAATTTTGGAATTTTTTAAAAATATTTTTTTTTATTTTTTATTTTTAAATGGGAGGCCTAACCCTGAAGCCATTAAGTGCCCGTTTGGCACATCACATTTGGGCTAAAATAGTCACGAAAAGACAAAATAAGTTAAAAAATTAATAAGACAAAATGTCACATCCAAAACATAATTATTTTATTTTTTCTCTCATAAAAGTCAAAAAAATCAAAAAACCCATCTCAAACTAGATTTTTTAACCCTATGCTAAAATAGCCAAAAAGTTAAAAAATCAAAAAACCAACTCATATCCCAAATGAACCCTAATTCAGTTACATTACTCTTAAGCCGCCCTTGTTAACTAAATCAGTGAATCTACAAATACAGAAAAAATATTAAAAATTGATTTATAATATTAAACGAAAGGTTAAGATTCATTCATGGGGTGGACACACAAAAAAATTTAAATCAAGACCACAAATTTGTATTTTTTGACCAATTTTTAAATTTATTTTTTGAATCTAGTGACTTTTCTTAACGGGGTGTAGGATTCCATCATACTAAACTCGTATGCTGTGTTTGGTTGGGGTTTTTAGGGTGGAATTTGGAAAAGTAATGAGAAATGTAATCCTATTTATGTTTGGTTATAATAAAAAATATATGGGAAAAGAAAGGGGGTGAGAAATAAATAAAGAAATATGAGACCTTTTAGGGCATCAATTCTATTTTATAACCAACACAACCAAACATAGTTGGGATTTGAAATTCTATTAATTCTTTCTCCTTTTCCTTTCATTTCCATTTCCCTTTCCATTTCCCTTCCCAAATCCCCCAACCAAACACAGCGGTAAAGTATTCCAATCTTAACGTGGTGTAGGATTCCCTCATACTAAACTCATAAAGTATTCCAATCCAAGTTCATTTAAAATTATTTATTGGGTGATACAATAGGACTTTGATCTTTTCCATTGTAGGTTTGTAATGGAAAATTTCAATCCATAGCATTTGAGAAATGTATTTGTGGCCAATTCTATTTCATAATTCATAAAACAAAATATTATATAGGACTTATAGAGATTCTATATATCCCTAAAATATTTTATTTGAACTCCAACTATGCGATTTCCATGTGACCTATTATATTTTTTGTTGTATAATCTTGCTATGATTATTGAAATCACACAAAAACTAAAATATAAAATATACACAAATAAATAAGATGTTACGAAATTTGTAGATAACCTTGTTCGGTTTTGTTTATAAAATTTATTTTTGAATTTTTTTTATTTTGTTATTTTTTAATGATTTTTAAAAATATTTTAGTTTATTTTTTTTAACTTTTTAAATATACTTTAGAAACGTAAAATATTTATGAATAAATGTAAAAGTTTCACAAAAGACAAGAACATACAAAAAATCTCAAAAAAAAAAAAAAAAAATCAAAAATGATTCTTCCGTAACTTTCATACGCAAGTCTCAAATGATACTATAATGGTATTTTTGTAATGAAATATTAATGGCACTTTAATTTAAAATAAAATATTAAGTATCAAACACAATCATGTGATTCTATATACAAATCTTATATATATGTATATTTTTTTATTTATATAATTCATATGAGTTTAAGTATTGAGTGTTACACGAATCCAGATTTTAGATTTTCGTTATGGAAATCGACGTATATAACTCCACTTTTTAGAGTTATTGATGTTTAAAAGAGATTATTAACGGATAATTAGAGAAATTTATTTGGGATAATTTATAAAAGTTAAAAAATTAAAAAGTTACTAAAAAAGTTAGGCACTGTTTGGAAAGAGCTAAAGTAGGTTTTTTTTTGACTATTTTAGCCACAAAAGATAAAATAGACTATTTTAGTCACAAAAAACAAAATATCACATTCAACCCATAATCATTACACTCTTCCCAATAAAAAAAGTTAAAAAAGTCAAAAGACCCTTCTCAAACTAAGCTTTTTAACCCAGGTTAAAATAGTCAAAAAACTAACCCACTTCCCAAACCAACCCTTAAAAAGTTTATATTATTTGAAAAAAGCTTATGGGGAAAACCTAAAATTCAACTACATAAAAGTCAAAACGTTAAAAGTCAACAAGTTAACAGGGGTAGGATGATCAAGTTAACAAGGATAATAAAATATTGTAATAAAATCTTTTTGTTAAACAAAAACATGTGTAATAAAATATTGTAATAAAATTAAAATGACCATTTTACCCTTATTAACTTATTGACTTTTAACCTTTTGACTTTTGTGTAGTTGAATTCAAAAGACAAAATTATTTAGGCTTTCCCCACAAGCTTCTCCCAAATAGTGTGGACTTTTTGATTTTTTTTTGTAACTTTTTGATTTTTGTAGGTTATGCCAAACCAAATTCCATAATTCAAACCATTCATTTTGTCGGATATTTCGTGTATTTTATTCACACAAAAAATTAAATCGATTTGATAATCCTAACTTGTTTAATTTATCATATTTTTCACTAAAAAATCGACGATAATTATATTTTTTTAAATAAATCATACTTTTATTTATTTATTTACAATAAACCCAATAAATTTAAAAAAATTATAATTATTGAATTGATTTACTCTTTTTAAATAAAATACTTAAACTGTCTAATAAAATAAATAATTCATACCATCAACACCATATCATAACAATCCCAAACACCACCCTCCAGTCCAGGTTTTGGACCAGACCAGAGGGGATCCTCTTCACCTTACTCATATCTCATTCCACAGATCCACAGCAACTTCTCATACATAGGCGGCCCCGATTTCCTCACCAACAACATCCGCGTGAACCCAGACCTCGACTCCCTCGGCGCGCTGGGCGACATCGGCTGGTACTGCATCCGAGCCATCCTCTGGGCCGCCAACTTCCAGCTCCCGAAAACCGCCGTAGCTTTGCGGCAGCCAGTCCTGAACGAAGCCGGCGTGATCCTCTCGTGCGGCTCCTCCCTCTACTGGGAAGATGGCAAAATCGCAACCTTCCATTGCTCTTTCCTCACCAACTTGTCAACGGACCTAACTGCCCTCGGAACCAAGTCCAATTTACGAGTCCACGACTTTGCCATTCCTTTTGAAGAGAACGTGGCGTCGTTTCATGTCACTTCGCAGTTTGGTTGGCCGATGGTGAGCGAGCGGAGTGTTGAGTGTGAGGTCCCTCAGGAGGCTTTGATGGTGAGAGAGTTTGCCAATTTGGTTGCGGCCATTATGAGAAAGGGTTCGAAGCCGGAGGAGAGGTGGATGGCGATTAGTAGGAAGACTCAGCTGGTTTTGGATGCTGTTACGGCTTCGATTGAGACAGGGTTTGAGCCGGTTGAGGTTGTGAGTCCGTTGGGAGAGTAACACTAGTCATCAACAACTTAAATATAGAAAAGGTAAACTATGCTTGTAGTTTCTTTATTTTACTGTTTGTGTTGTTTTGTTTGTTAGTAATTTGAATTGACTCGATTTGATCATAAATTTATGATTTTGTTTTAATTAGATTCGATTGATTACGATTTTTAATATATTTTTAATAAAAAATACGCACATCATATTTTTATGGATAAAATTATAAATTTCTCAATTTAATGAGTTAATTTCAATAAATGTAACATTTTTTTTTTGTTGTCAAAAATACTAATGGTATTATAAATTGAATCAAATTAACTTAAAATTTAAAATTAAGTGTCAAAATTAAGTCAATTAAAAATATAAAGATCAAATAATATCATAAGTAAAATGCTAGAACTAATGGTGTAATTTGCCCATATGAAAAAATGTGATAATGTAAGGTTTAAAGTCATACTTAGCCTTATTTGAAGATTAATTATTTTAATTAATTTTTTAATTTTTTATAAAAAAGTAAAAAATAATAGTAATTTGACAACTTAGGGTGAGTTTTTATTTTTTTTGCCTAAAACTACACTCCCCGAACGGGCCTAAATGTGAGTCCCGCTATAAAAGAGTTAATTTTGAATAACTCTTGTTTTTCTTGATACTGATCTGTCTCTGAGAATTCACCCCAGAAAAAAAAACAAAAGATCTGTCTCTGAGTTCTAGCGCTAGTGCTTTGAATTAACAGGGTGTCTATTGCATGGTAATTTGGGATGTAAATCAATTTTATTAAAGAGCAGCGCTATTCAAGTATAAAAATTAGATTTATTTTAAAAGTCTAATAATGTGACTGTTAGAATAGTAGAGAGATAGAGGAAATAATATGTATTGTATTAAATTAAATATATTGAATTAATCTTATACAATAGAAGGCCTGTATATATAGGCTGTGAAAAAGTATCCTATTAGAAATGTAACTATGAGAAAGAGTATCATATTTCTAAATATATCTAGGAAATTAATACTTAATATGTCTAGGAATACCACATATACGTTAATATCCCTTTCAAATTCAAGGAGGATAAACATCTTGAGTTTGGAGAGAGAAAATAAAACATAAAATAAAACTAAATAAAATAAAAGGCAAATAGATTGTAAAATCCAAATGGAACCGCAAAGGCGCTTGAGAGCGCAAGGACGTTTGAAATAGATCAGAGGCCGGTACTAATGCCAGGAGATAGTTTATAGTCGTGTCGGACCATTGTTGAAACTGGTTGAAACTAATGCCAAGACAATTTAAGGTCGTGTTGGACCAATATAGAAACTGGTTGGAACTAATGCCGAGAGACAATTTATGGTCGTGTTGGACCATTGTAGGAACTAGCTAGAACTAATGCCAGGACAGTTTAAAGGGGTCATGCTTGACCGATGTAGGAGCTAACTGGAATCAATGTTGGGACAGTTTAAAGGGGTCATGTTAGACCGATGTAAGAGCTAACCGAAATCATTGTTGGGACAGTTTAAAGGGGTCATGCCGGACCAATGTAGAGAATTGGATGTTGAACCAACAAGCGTGACACACACATAACTTATGACGTGGTGCTGAGCGATGATGACAACAGATAACTGAGTGTTTTTTTTTTTTTTTGAATGAATTGTATATAATGAATTGTATTGAATGATATTGTTCCATATTGACATAGGAGGTGGTTTAGGTGATTTGCATGGTGTATAATATATATATATATATGATAGAGATATTTGGGATAGGAATAAACCAACGAACAAAGGAAGAGAAACGATACTGAGAAGAAAACATGACAATAGAATAGGTTGAGGTCCAGTATGACCCCTTTAAACTGTCCCTACAATGATTCCGGTTAGCTTTTACATATCAATTATGATATCTAAAGCAACATATTATCTTATATCTTCTCTAATTATTAACCAATTATATCATTTATATATCATTAAATTTAGAAAATGAGTTTATCATTTTTTTTTATTTATTGAAAGGTTGGAATGTTTTGTGCAAAGGGCAAGGCTATAAACTATGAAATATTATTTACATTACATAATGTGGTTGAATTGAGAGATTATCATATTTAAAACTAGTAGAGCACACACAATACGTGTACAATTCAGATAATTAATAATAAAAATACATAATAAAAAATTTAATATCATAATATGTATGTTGCTTAAGTGATAAGTATGTTCTTAATGAAATCCAAGGTCTTAGGTTCAAAATTTATTTATACCGTATGTAATAATTTTTTTTTTTTTATATTTTAGTTCGTACAAAGTTGTCACGTGACATGAGGAGAATAAGGTTTCATTAAACCAATTTAGGCCGTCACTTAATAATAATATAGAAGATAATAGTATAGATTGTTAATATTTTTAAATAATCACTAAGATGTGGTTTTGTATAAATAAATAAACAATTACTAAGATGTGCTCTCAAGTTCAAATTTTAGAAAGATTGCCCAAGAAGAGTGGTATTACTTAACAGAATTTATAGTAAATAAATAAATAATCAAAAGTTTCTATGATTGAGAATATAATAAGAGGCACTTTTTTCATAAATCTCTTTTCACTTACTTATGTTGCATTTAGTCCATATTATTTTCTTATGTTCCAATAAGTCCTATGAGTGACATAGTTACCAAAATACTCCTAATAATATTCACATTTACAATGTGAATATTTCGTGATGTAAATGTTCACACCGTCAATGTGAATGTTCACAATATCAATGTGAACATTCACATACCAAAGTGAATATTTACATTGTAAAATATGAATGTTCACCTCACCAAATTGCTAACCATTCAAAAAATATTTGTAAGGGTAGAAATATGCATAAAATACTTTAAATATGAGAATTATAATTTGGTAGATTAAATATTCAAATAATAAGACTTATTGGAATACAAAAATATCATATGGATATTGGAATGCAAATACTTGAAAAAGATTTTTTTAATAAATCTCTCATATAATAAAGTCAAGACTATTAAACAACTAAAGAATTTATACCAAAGAAAATAAACAAAATAAACAAATTCAAAACTCTTAAACAATTATAGAATTTATTTCAAAAAAAAAAGAAGAAAAAACAGAATTTATACCCAAAAAAAATAAAAATAAAAAACAATCATTGAGAATTTTTAAAACATAAACAAACCTATTAATTCTAATTATTTTTTTAAAAAACAGATTTTATAGTTTAGAATAATAATGAACAAAATTAAACTATAAAAATAAATAAATAAACAATCACTAAGATGTGCTCTCAAGTTTAAATTTTGGAAAAATTGTCAAAGGAGAGTGATATTACTTAAGAATTACAAAATTTATAGTTAAAATAAATCTAGTATTATATAAGGAAAATAGGGTTTCGAATGAGAAGCTTCCTAAGAGTTCCACACTCTCATTCTAAAATTATTGATTTTTTAATTTATAAAATAGATTAAAAAAAGGAAAAATTGATCTAACATCCCTCTCTAACTTTTAGTAATGTGAGAAGTCCACAATTTATATATATATATATATATATATACATTCTTGTTTACGTAAATTGACACATTTACCACTATTTTTATGATATGATACTTACACCCATATATCACACCCACTCTCTCATTCTCTCTCCTCCACTCCGTCGTCGCCTCCTCTGTGCCGTCGTCGATCAACATGGCCAAAGAAGATCGCCTAGTTCCAGATCTCCTAGATCAACATGGTTGAAGCAGATCTACTTCTATGGTAAAGAAATACAAGCAAAGAAGAGAGATAAGAAGGAGAGCATATCGAGTCCATGGAAAGGGCTTCTTTGAGAGAAAGTGAGGTTGGTGTTTGAATGGGTTGGTTATTGAACCTATCTCCCAGATCCTATCTCTTTCTTTGTTCGGCTTTTTTGCTCCCTTCTCTTTTATCTTTTTGTCTTTGCTCAGCTAAGAAAACTTCAGGAATCTTGAGCTCATGAAACTTTGGATTGAGGTTCTCAACAAGAATTGAGAGATTGTCTTGGGTTTTGGTATTGAGAGAGACAGAGAAGAAACTGATCAGTGGTTGATTTATGTTCATCAAAGTTGAAATCTTTGCTTATTGAGAAGAGAGAATATGGGAAAGATGCGAAATGAAATTGAAAAAGAAGAGAGAACTGTCACTTAACACTGTAATTTTCTTTGGCATGCTTAATTTTTTCTGTCATATGTAATTTTTTTTTTTTGGCATGTTTAATTTTCTCTACCATGTTTAATTTTCTCTGGCTTGAATCTAGAGAAATTCTTGCGAAAACCAGAGAAATTCCCTAGCTGCAATCCAGAGAAATTCTTTAAATGGGTTTTTGAAATTAAAGTTCAATTATGAAAATTTGAACAGTTTAGATGATGCCCTTTTTCCCTTTGTTTGGTTGTTGAGAGAACTTAGGAAATAAAAAAGGGAAATGAGAATTCAATTTTAATGTTGATTCATATTGTTGTCAATCAAAATTCAATGTAATTAAGCAACCAGTTGAATTAGGCAACATAGTGGTGAAATATCTGAAATTCAAAATTTTGTTATTGATTTGAATGGTGGCTCTATTTTTTTTTTTTCTATGTGTTGAAATCACTTTGTGTTGGTTTTTTGATCAATTTTCTGTAGTTGAGTCAAAACACAATTTTCTTAGCTTTGATCAAAACAAAGAGAAAATTATGAGTAAACCAGAGAATTTAGGAAAGATGAGGAATGAAGTTGGAAAAAAAGAGAGAACTGCCACTTAACACTCTCGTGTGTGTAATTTTCTTTGGCATGTTTAATTTTCTCTGCTATGTGTAATTTTCTTTGCCATGTCTAATTTTCTTTGGTCTGAACTCAGAGAAATTCTTGCGAAAATTAGAGAAATTCTCTGGAATCCTGAGAAAATCTCTAGACTGCAATCCAAAGAAATTCTCTGAATTGAATTTTCTCTAGACTGAATTTTCTTTGGAAAGTCTAGAGAAATTCTCTTAATCGAATTTTCTTTGAATCGATGTTGAGGGACCTTAGACATTATGAAAATATTGAATGTCCTTTATACCATAAAATTTAAATACTAGGGACCCTAAAAAAATTCTCCATAAAAAAATTATTGACTGATTTATTTATTTAATTATTTTAGAAATAATAATTATTCATTAATTTATAGATTTCAAATGGAAAGATAACAAAAATATTTCATAATCTC